GTAAACTATCTGTTTCCCTTTTGTAACATTTCGGTCTCACCGAAAAGAGAAAATCGGTCCCACCAAGTTTACCTGACCAACTCTCTGGAAAGCTTATTACCAAAATCGGTCTCATCGAGTTTGTGTAATCGGTCTTACCGAGATTATGTTATGCCCTAACCCTAACCGAATCGGTCTCACCGAGTTGCATGTCAGTCCCGCCGAAAATCACTAACGGTCACTAGGTTTACTAAATCGGTCCGACCGAGTCTGTTGAATCGGTCCCACCGAGTTTGGTAAATTGTGTGTAACGGTTAGATTTTGTGTGGAGGCTATATATACCCCTCCACCTCCTCTTCATTCATGGAGAGAGCCGTCAGACTAAACCTACATTTCCAACTTACCATTTCTGAGAAAGAACCACCTACTCATGTGTTGAGGCCAAGATATTCCATTCCTACCATATGAATCTTGATCTCTAGCCTTCCCCAAGTTGCTTTCCACTCAAATCTTCTTTCCACCAGATCCAAATCCTATGAGAGAGAGTTGAGTGTTGGGGAGACTATCATTTGAAGCACAAGAGCAAGGAGTTCATCATCAACGCACCATTTGTTACTTCTTGGAGAGTGGTGTCTCCTAGATTGGCTAGGTGTCACTTGGGAGCCTCCGACAAGATTGTGGAGTTGAACCAAGGAGTTTGTAAGGGCAAGGAGATCGCCTACTTCGTGAAGATCTACCGCTAGTGAGGCAAGTCCTTCGTGGGCGACGGCCATGGTGGGATAGACAAGGTTGCTTCTTCATGGACCCTTCTTGGATGGAGCCCTCCGTGGACTCACGCAACTGTTACCCTTCGTGGGTTGAAGTCTCCATCAACGTGGATGTACGATAGCACCAACTATCGGAACCATGCCAAAAACATCCGTGTCTCCAACTGCGTTTGAATCCTCCAAACCCTTCCCTTTACTTTCTTGCAAGTTGCACGCTTTAATTTCCGCTGCCTATATACTCTTGCATGCTTGCTTGAATTGTGTGATGATTGCTTGACTTGTCCTAAGATAGCTAAAATCTGCCAAACTCTAAAATTGGGAAAAGTTTAAGTTTTTAATTGGTCAACTAGTCTAATCACCCCCCTCTAGACATACTTCAAGGTCCTATAGTTGGCCCTCAGTTTCTTAAAATGTGCTAGTTGTCATTATGTTAAGTATGTACATATGGATCATATGGTTGTTGGCCCTTAGCCTCTTAAAATGTGATAGTTGTTACTATGTTAAGTATGTAGATATGGACCATATGGTTGTCAAAACCGTGTTATGAAGATCCTTCTTTTATCAAATAATGTAACCACTATATATATGTTACTCAAATGCTGTTAGCCAAGTTCTTAAATTTTCATGGAAAGTATTAGTATCGTACATAGTTCATTGAGTTTAAGCATGTGCCCAATGTCCAGAAGGCATTTGCATATTAACTGTCCATATTGCAAATTCACACACACGTGTTAACATAAGAAAACATATGTGTAACTTACTAATCATCGCACACAAGTACTCGTAGACGCATCGTGTGTGATACTCCTAGCCACCGCAAGCAGTTAGTCTGTATTTTTCAAAGTTTTTTGTACACACAGAATCGCACACAAACTAACTGTATTAATTGTTTGTGTTGTAATTTCTCATCCCAAACAGTTCATCCGAGTCGGCTGTTTGCCACGCATTACACACATCTTGTTTACACGACTCATTTGTGTTTTCTTGGCTCATTGCAAATAGTTCATCCATGTGAACTGTATGCCGCATATCACACACATCTTGTTAAGTTGAACCGTTTTTGTTGTGTTCCCTAATCAAAAATAGTTCGTTCGAGTGAACCGTATGCCATATATCACACACACCTTGATCTGGCTAACCGTTTCTGTTGCACTCCCTAATAGCAAACAATTCATCGGAGCAAACTGTATGCCGTATATCGCAGACACATTGATATGGCTGCCCATTTCTGTTGTTCTGCCTCATCGCAAATAGTTCGAATGGATTAATCGTGTGCCCTGCATCTCACACGCAACTAAAATCTGAACCGTGTTTGATGGCTCCGCCATCACAAACATTTTGCATCTTTTTTACGGTTTTTTACACCACTGTTTGCGATTAATGCATCGCACACAGTTTCGTCAAAAGGTCTCTGATCGTAGTGTCGCGTTAGCAGCATCCTGCAGTAGTGGATCATAAAGATGCTCTACAGGTATCTCGAAAGGTGTCTGTTGAGTTGGCTTGAATCGAGATTGGAATTTGTAACTCCGTGTATCGGAGAGGTATCTATGGGCCCTCTCGGTAATACACATAACAGGAAGCTTGCAAGCAAAGTGACTAAGGAGTTAGTTGCAAGATGATGTATTACAGAACGAGTAAAGAGACTTGCCGGTAACGAGATTGAACTAGGTATAGAGATACCGACGATCGAATGTCGGGCAAATAACATATCGACAGACAAAGGGAATTACGTATGTTGTCATAAAAGTTCAACCGATAAAAGATCTTCGTGGAATATGTAGGGATAAATATGGGCATCCAGGTCCCCCTATTGGTTATTGCCCGGAGAGGTGTCTCTATCATGACTACATAATTCCCGAACCAGCAGGGTCACACGCTTAACGTCTGTTGACGCTAGAGTAGTATTGGGATTGAGTGATAACGAAATGTTGTTCGGAGTCCCGGATGAGATCCCGAACATCACGAGGAGTCTTGGAATGGTCGAGAGGTAAAGGTTTACATATGGGAAGTCATATTTTGGGTTACGGAAAAAGGTGCAGTTTTTTTGGTATTGTACTGAGAAGCTTCCAGAAGGTTCCGAAGGATTCCGGAGGGGTACAGAAGTCCACAAGTGGGTCCACCACGACACAAGGGCTAACATGGTCTGCGGGGAGGCGCCCTGGCCTTATTGGGCTAGGCGCACCAAGTTCTCAAAAGCCCATGTGTCTAGGAAAGGCCAAAAAGGAAGGAGTCCTTGTAGGAATAGGATTGAACTTCTCCTCTCCTGCTTGCACCCTAGGGCATGGAGGGCTGTTTGCCACGCCCCTCCACCTATATATAGAGGGGAGGAGCGCCCCAAGAGGACATACGAAGCCATTGGCGCCCCTCTCCCTCCCGTTACTCCGTAATTCCACCGCCTTGTCCCGGCGACGCTTAGCGAAGCGCTATCGGTGCTCCACCATCATTACCACCATGCCGTCGTGTTGGTTGTGATCCCATCTACTTCTCCTCTCCCGCTTGCTGGATCAAGGAGGAGATGTCATCGAGCCGCACGCGTGCTAAACTCGAAGGTGCCGTCCATTTGGCACTAGATCGGTTGGATCATGATCGCATCGCGAAGACTACGACTACATCAACCGCGTGATAAACACTTCCGCTTAGTGATCTACAAGGGTATGTCGATGCTCTCCCCCTCTCGTAGCTATGCATCTCCATGGATAGATCTTGCGTGTGTGTAGAATTTTTTCGTTTTCCATGCAACGTTCCCCAACACCTGACATCTGGGTCAGACACCGAGGACCGTGGCGTCTGGTGCTGGAACACGAGAAGGACACTTCCTTGCGTTCCAAACTGACTTTGGGGAGGCCCTCTGCCCCCAAGTTACAACCCCAGGGCTCAACATATAAATAGAGGAGCAGGGCTAGCCCCTAGAGGACAAGTTTATGAGCCTTTTCTACTTGATCTAGTTCTAGTTGGTCCTAGTTGACTAATTAGAGCTCCCCGCAAAAAAAAAGTTGACTAATTAGAGCTAGCCCTAGCTATTTCTAATCTCCTACCTCTAGTTCATCCTCCGCTTTAAATCCGTTGTGCTTGGCGAAGCCCTGCGGAAATAGTTTCACCACCACCGTCATCACGACGTCGTGTTGCCGGAACTCATCTACTACTTTGCTCCTCTTGTTGGATCAAGAAGGCGAGGACATCATTGAGCTAAACGTGTGCTGAATGCGGAGGTGACGTATGTTCGGTGCTTGATCGAAACGGATCGTGAAGTTGTGCGACTACATCAACCGCATTGATAAACGCTTCCGCTTAGCGATCTACAAGGGTATGTAGATGCTCTCTCCCTCTCGTAGCTATGCATCTTCATGCATAGATCTTGCGTGTGCGTATTTTTTGTTTGTTTTTCATGCAACGTTTCCCAACAAGGCCTGACAAGGTCAGTTTGTTGATCTCCCCTGAAGTTGGGATGACAGATGATGGCGGCGATAGATTCTAGAGCGTACAGCATGCTATGCATGTTGTCTAGACCAGTTGGTGCCACAGGATTAAATGGCGTGCATTGCTGTGAGGTAAGGTACACTATCAAAAACAAGTAGGTATGGCGACATTGGTCACGAGGAAGATGATTTTCAATTGATCAACGTATATTTTTTTTTGGTTCTGTTGATTAATATAGTAAAGATGGCTGTATGCACCGCTTTGGTTATCCTCCTTTTTTAGAAAATTGTATTCACGGAGGAAATATTATGTTTCAAAAAGGCTGTGATGCAAATGTACACTTAATACGAGTTGGCAGCCAGCAGCCAACGGCGGATGTTCGGACCAAATTGCGCCTGCCCCCTGCAGTCATTTCTTATCCACTAGCAGTAGTACTTGGTCAGTGGCCTAGTCTCGCTCGTCCGCAGCTCACACTGACATTTGCCTCCGCTGTAAAAAAATCCCAGATCAATCGAAGAGAAGCAGCCGTATTTGGCAAGAATCATCCGGGGCCGAAAAGAATGTCTGCGCTGCGCTGATCTCCTCCTTCGCCGTCGCTCAGGTTAACGGGCGGAGCTCTCTGGTCGGTCAAGAGGGAGGGGGGCAAGGGCGGTGTCCGTCCGGTCATCTCACCGCCGGCACCGGCCACGGCCGCGCCGACGGGTCCTGGGGGAAGGTGAGCTGTCAATCTGGGATTTTGTTACGGTTCCATCTTGGTCATCCCTGCTGCCTCCCGCCCCTTAGGTTCCTCCTCTCGTGTCCCCTGCAGCTTCCGGTGCACGCTACCAGTTCGATGAAATGACTGACACCAGCACGGCCGAGGAATCATCAAAATACGACGAGGAGGACCGGATCAGCGCCCTGCCGGACGTCATCCTGCACCACGTCCTTGGCTTCCTGTGGGCCGATGAGGCGGTGCACACCTGCCTGCTCGCCCGGCGCTGGCGCTACCTTTGGAAATCCATGCGTTGTATCCTCGTCTATGACAAGGGATGGTGGAGGAAGAGCACTCATGTTTTTCTTAACAAGTTCATGGACTGTGTGCTGCTCCTCCGAGACCCCGGTTCGACTCTAGATGAGGTTCACATCGAGTATGATCATTTGGAGGATGATCATACATGGATAGACCTTTGGATTGACATCTGGATCCGTCATGCTTTGTCATGCCAAGCTCAAGTGCTCACTGTGAGGCTCTCGTATGAGGTGGATTTCTGTTTGGATGGTCCTCCGGTGGTCTCCCGACATTTGAGAAGATTGGAGCTTTCTGACGTGACGTTGAAAGGCAACTTCATGAATTTTTCAAGTTGTTCATCGTTGGAAGAGCTATATATAGAAGACTGCTACTTAGAGACTGGCAGGATCTTGTCCCAGTCTTTAAAGCATCTAACCATCAAGGGGTGTTTTTCCAGAAATGATGGCCGGATTCGTGTTACTGTTCCAAATCTAGTTTCGCTGCAACTCCTATCATTTCGAGGTAGGACCCCATTGTTCGAAAGCATGCCATCATTAGAAACCGCAGTTGTCGAGCCGAACAACTACTTGGAGGATTACTGTTGTAAAGGTGTTGCTTTGGAGTGTTGTGGTATTTGTGCAGATTGCTGTGGTAATGATGATCACAATGGTAATTGTGTACTTCTTGGAGGTCTGTCTCATGCTAAAAGCCTGGAGTTGACCGCTTATCCGGGAATGGTAAACTTGCACATACTTTCATCATACTTTCTAGTCCAAAAGCATTCTGATCTCTACAATTGTCTCTATCAGGATCTGTTAATGAACAAAAAAAGGTGCAGCCACACATATTGCCACAAGATTAGCTCATGTTTCATTGCACACATATTAGAAATTCTTGATATATATGTTTATGCTACTGCACTTTGAGATCTAACACAATTCCAGTTGGGAAGTCATGTGGTATTGAGAATAGCCATTCGGATTGCATGCTCATTATGTGCATTTCTAAATGATATAGCAACATTTCTTTCTAAATGTAAAGAGAGTTGTTAATTACGACATGCTGACATTGCATATAACTTTCTCAAGGTATTAGTTTGAAATGTTTATCAAAAGGTCCAATGCACTTTAGTATCATTGCATTGTGGACTTTAAAACTAGATCCTTAACTGTACTGCTTTGCAATTTATTCAGCTTATCTTCAGAAGGGATTTGAGATGGTGCCCTACATTTAGTAAGTTAAAGACTTTGTTGCTGAATGAGTGGTGTGTGCAACCTGACCTCCGTGCACTAGTTTGTATGCTTGAACATTCACCGGTTCTCGAGAATCTGACGCTCCAATTGTGTGAGGTATTTGTTTTTTCAATGAACAGTGGCAGAGTTGCTCTAGTGTTATGTTTACATGCATGATTGATGGATATTGGTGAAATATTTTTGTCTGCTACAGCAAGGAAAACCTACAGGTGCAGTGGAAGCGGAAGAAAACCATAGTTTGATGGAGAAACCAGCTGCTATTTCAGGATACCTGAAGATTATCAAAGTCAAATGTGAAGATATTGATGGTAGAGTTTGCAAAGTTTTGAAGTTCTTGATTATACTTGGCATGGACATTATTATCCAAAGGATTGACGGATAGTCGGAGAAAACGTAAGTTAACTTGTGACTCTCTTCCTGCTTTTAATACACTCTAGTTGTATAGGAAGCCTTCAAACAACGGGGACACAAAACATGATCAAATCTCTTTAGTTGGACAGTTTTATCCAGTGAGGCTTGTAAACTAATCAACTCTCATGCGAATCATAGCATCTGACGAATTGGTTAGTTTGAAACATCAAACTCCGATGGGACGAGCAAACATTGTGTGGCCTTTAAGTGTTGCTACGAAACAACAGTTTTGTTTTTGGAATAAAGCAACAGCTTGTTGTTGTTTTCTTAAAACACCAATTACAAATTAATTAATCAATCTCTCATTCGGATTCATGACTGTATATCATAATAAGTGAAATAGTCATGTTATGTGCATGGTAGTGAACTCCCATCGTCTATAGTTTGATTTCATGTTCAAGTCTCCTTGTCAAGTAACTGAACAAACTTCTTTCTTCATTCAACGACTCCTCTGAAGTCTCTTTGTTTTCACATGTACATCATGCAGTTTCAAGAGGTGGCGAGAAACTTTTGGGCGTTGATGGATGTATCACCCTGCGACCATTCAGCGTCAAGAGGCGGCGAGGAACTTTTGTGTACCATCCCATGAGCATTGAGGAATGCAAAGATGAAAGCTAGTTGCTGTCTTTCTTTCATGGAATTCTTGTAATTTGCAACTCAAATCTGTCGAGATGTGTGTACTGATTACTCTGCTTAGTGTAGTATTATTAACGATAGAATTGGTGAAAAGGAACATCATCATCACCATCATCGTACTATACCGGCTTATTGTGTATCGTATTTTTATTACTTAAAATTGGTTGAAAGCCCGTTGGGTAGCAAGAATGAAGTGGAGTAAACTGAGAAAGTATTGAGTTGCTGTGCGATTGGACGGACCGGCCTACCAGATATACAGTGGTACTTATGCTCATGCTTGATTTGAAACATTTATGGATGGTGGTGACCAATAAATTCCATTGGATCAATCTGGTACTACTGATGCATAACATAAACGATCTCGCGTGTTATCGCAGTGAGATTTTCGTTAATGAAATCACTGTATATCCTCGGCAAATGTCACAGGACAGCAAACTATAAGTCTGACTACATATGCCATCAGATGTATATTGAAGATGTTTCCCAAAAAAAGATGTATTGAAGATGAAGATCGTTGCCAGGTTGTTGCACCGTGTAGCATCCATAGAAAAACGAGCGGAGGAACTAGTGGTTTACAAAGCTGGCGATCTAACTAGTAGAGCAAGAGTGAAAAAACTGAAGATGTGTGAATATAATAGGCTTCCTTTGGCGAAGCATTGCATCTCCTGTGATGGCGCAAAAAGAGAGAGAGAGAGAGAGTTCGCGAGAAGGAGGATATAGTTAGCAGAAAAAAGTTAAATGGCATTGCCCGGGTTTGAACCGGAGAACTACACCACGAAACCAATTCTGTTCAATTCTCTCTTTAGATGGTATCTGTATCTGAAATGTTCTTGTTCACACATGAAATGATTTCTGAATATTGTCATACAACAACACTAGATATTTCATTTGCAAAATATATCTACACTCTACATATACACATGCACTAGTGCAGAACCGGGCTATAGCCCCGGTTCGTAAGCGCCTTTAGTGCGGGTTCTGTAACCGGCATTAAAGGGTGGGGACTAAAGCCCCCCCCCTCCCCCCCGTCGTACCGGTTCGGCTCGAACCGCCGCTAAAGGGCCACCACGTGGCACCAGTCAGGGCCGGGTGTGGGGAGAGCTTTAGTACCGGTTGGTGTTACCAACCGGTATTAAAAAGTTTGGGGGATTTTGGTTTTATTATTTATTTTTCCTTTAATTTTGTGTTTTCCATTTAATTCTTTTTCGTTTGCTGGTATTTTACGATACTACATATTGTACACGTTATGCATATATATAAATAGAATTTCTCGTACAGAACCGATTATATATATATATATATATCACTACTAGGAAAAGGGCTATAGATAGGATTGATACTAATGGCGCACCAGGTAAGCAGTGCACCACTACTGTATACTAATGGCGCACCGGTTGCTGATGCGCCATTAGTGTGGAAGACACTAATGACGCACCGTACACTCGGTGCGCCACTAGTAGCCTTCAGAGCCAGAGGCATTTGCCTTGGTGCCTTCGGAGCACGATGACAACTGGGAGTACTTCATTGGGGCGGTAGCTCGTAGTAGAATTCCCCTTTGGGATCTATGACCTTGTCGAGCAAAAATCCCGCTATTTCCTCTTTAAGTTCTCGTATGCGCTCTACTGGTAGGAGCGTCTCCCGCACCGATTCGAACGGTTAAGAAGGAGATCAATATGCATGTGTATTAGTTATGTGACTAGATATCGATAATGACGTAAAAATTGTGAATAGTGTTCTGTCAAACGCACGTACTCATAGCAGTCTATCAGTTTTTGTCCTTTCGCACGTCATCATGCGAATATTCTCGAAAACATAGTATGCACACGTATCACTCCCCTGCGCGTGCTTCAGGACCTTTACGAGAATAGAACTTAATCAGATAATAATTAATCAAGCATGATAATTAATGGTATTGAAACTAGAATTAAAGAGATGCATGGTAGGTAGCTAGATAGTAGTACTTAATTAATTATACCTTGGGTCGAAACCAATGCAGCCTTTCTCTCCATTCGCCTGGAACCTCTTTCGAATTCTTGAACTTTGCCCAAGCCCTGCCCACCGGCAAAGAAAATGAATAAACGAGTTATTAAATAGTTGATATGAGGAAATGACGAACTAAAGAGGCCGGCATATAGTTAATAATGATTGAGATTACCTGTCGACTATCCCCTTCACGGTTGTGTAGTCTCTCTTATCTTTAAGTAGCGAGTCCAGTATTTTAACTGTTCCTTCGTCAACTTTAATGATTAACAAGATCCAATGGAAACTGCATGCACACACGTTTGCATGTCTAGTTAAGCGAGCATGTGCATAACACTCATCAACTACCCTAAACCGTATACACTTAATTATTAACATCTAGCTAGCTAGTAAGTAAAAACAGAATTGTAGTACAAGACAGTGTTGCTCACGTGTAGTTGTAAGGCAGTAGTATATGTTCATTGGTATTGAGGCGCTTCAAGAACTCTAGCATGTTTTTCTCTACATGCATCTGCTTGATACCATGGATATGACCATGTTTCTTCATTAATGGTATTTGGGTCAATGAACCCAATGCCATAGCGTCCAACTTTTTTCATTTCATACATCTTCATCCTGCATAATATACCACAGAAAAGAATATAGTGAGGATAATTACAGGTAATGATTGATCAATGAGCACTATAGCTAGCTTGAGACTTGAATTACAGAAACAAATCACTTACAGACAATAGCAACTGACGATGGATTTGTCGAGTGCGTCTTGATTGAATAACTGAAATAGTTCTGAATACTCAATGGGCAGAGCTATCTTATTGAAGTAATACTCTTCCATGACTTTCACCATGAGGCCCTCTCGATTGTTACTCTTGGTAATTTTCATGTACCAATCATGCAATTGATACATTCTCGTTGGGAGGTTCTTGATCTCCTCAGGCCTTACCAAAGGTTGGCCGCGGGCATATTTCCATTTTATGTCCTGCTCTTTAAGCTTAGGCATGGGCTCAATCTCGAGGAGTTGTCCAATAGTGATACCGAGCATTTCAGCGTTCCGTCTATGCTCGTCAGTTATTACCAGCTGACCGGCGCCGGTACTCTCATGTGTTGGTACAACAAAGCGGGGGGATCGATTGCGCCGCCTGTTCTCCTAGCCGGGGAACAGTTTTCCCGCATTTTTGGCCAGCTGCTTGGCTCGAGCTCGAGCTTGACCCCTTTTGTCGTGCTCGATGTGCCTTCCTGATTTGGCGCTCATAGTCTGAGTCAATAGGTTTGGGAGCTGGTGGTCGCGCCATATGAATAAAGTGGTCAACCTTCTCCTCGGACACTTTCTCCCTTGGCGGCGGTGCCGGTTTTGGTGCGAAATGGGCCTCCACTTGGGCCTTCACTATGGCTTTGTTTTGCTCCTTGGTCATGTCGTAAGGCCTCTGTGGAAGAGGCGCGAGGGTTTTTGCACCATATTGAAATCGCTTGCCTCCGCCTGTACCTCCTGTACTACATCGACTTGTAGCACTACGCACCATAGCTGCGGCGGCTCTCTTCCGCGATTGCTGAGGCAGCGGAGATGGCTGACGCGGTGTCGGACTTGGAGGAGGAGTGGCACGCGTTAGTGGACTTGGAGGAGGAGGAGTGGCCTCACGCGTTGGCTGAGTTCAAGCAGGAGGAGTGGCCTCACGCGTTGGCTGAGTTGAAGTAGCAGGAGTGGCCTCACGCGTTGGAGGAGCGTGAGTCTTCTGCTCCTCGTCACCTCCTGGAATTTCAAGCTCTAGCTCACGCGGTGTCGGTGGCCTTCGAAAGATGATGAAATCCTGTCTCCATAGGATCATACAATGTATGGCCTCTCCTAGTGTGTGCTCCTCGTCATATCCAGGAATGTCAAGCGCTAGCCCCGAATATAGGTCCACCACCTCATCAACCACGACACGAGCATAGCCTTCTGGAATCGTTCGGCAATGGTAGGTTTCTCCGGGGGGATTTGTATAAGCAACGGCGTCCGCTGCCTTCACGGATATGTTCTATAGTTTGAAGTGTAGCTCACAGTTAGTGTTCTCCATGATGTCATCCATAGGGTATCTATCCAGCAGTGCGTCGCCTGGGGCGGAACCCACGCTGCTTCTCGGCATGGATGGGACGGTGCTATCCAATGCTGGATCATCCGCTAGCTGCGGCCGTTGCTGAGACCCCCTTTCCTGGCTAAGCGAGTTGATCTGCTGCTGCGACCTCTGCAATTTGAGTGCCAAGTCCGCATGCGCTGATTCTAGGCCTTGAAGCCGTTCTTCTTCCTGCTTCCTCTGCTCATCCTCCAGCTTCTTTTTCTTCTCCTCCATCTTCCTTATCGCACGGCTTCTGTAGTCGGCG